TGAAGCAGGGTTGTCTGTGCTAATGAGACTCCTTTATCACAGTGCTGATGTGAAATGCTGGCCCAGAGAGAAAACAGGGTTTGAGGGAAATATCCACTTGGATCACAGAGGTGGGCAGATAACCTCCCAGCAACTCACTTTTGATGCTGTGCAGCTTAACTGCTCATCAGAACATCAACACCAAGAAATTTAACAAGCATTTTCCAGTTTCAGAATTGCCAGGTTCCTGAGCCATGACATTGGTCTTAGCTCCCCAAATTTGTAATTCTAATCCTACCTGCTGGTCTCCTCTGCTTTGTGAAAGAGGACAAAACGTTGTACCTCTTCCCAAAGAAGATCACTCCTGCAGTTGCCAGAAACAGCCTCTTGTTCCCAGCTAACACAGTTTCCACTAAGTCTTGTACTTGCCACGCTTAGAAACGCCATTAGGATATGCTGGACAGTCTTACCTGGGCATAGTTAGATCTGCAAAACAAACATAATACATAGTCCAGAGCAGTGTCTGTGCTAGAATTTAACTTATCTCTGTCAAAAAGGGGCAAAGAAAATATCCGGGTTTAACTGCTACACAGAGACTGTGCTGAAGGAGGGCAGGGTATGGTAGGGTATGCTAGCCCAGCAACCAAATCTGCTCACTCCTTGCTATCTTCTCTAGCATATTTTGTTCTCGGGTTTTAAATGGGCCTAGTGACATTTCTTTCATTACGTCTCCTGCAAGATCACTGCAAAAACACAGAATTTGCTGCTAGGGAAGGGACTGTTGACACCCACTCCAAACTCCTCCTGTCTTAATTTCACCTATTAATTCTTATTTTAACTTTGCTTTCAGTTTGCTAGCTATGTGCCTTTATCTACACTATTTATAGTTTTTGTATATTTCAAGACTCTTCTTTTGTTTCCAAGCTGTATTTGTCTCTTAATCTAATTATAGGTTTTGAAGTCTTTTCATTCATCCTTATAAATCAGACTTACTTTGGACTTTGATAAGTATGTTTGCTGCTCCTATCTGAATTGTCTCCTAATATCAGATCTTTTTCATCTGACGCAGAAATGAACAGATTATTGAAGGTGTGACTGTGAAAGGATTCTATTTGTATCTTCCAGTCTCATTATATGTTGCTCTGGCTATTTTATCTTGCTATTCCACATTGCAAATAAAATCCCCTAGCATTTTTTCCATATAATTTATTTGCAGGTTTATCTGATTATTTGATTGTGCATGTCTTAGATTGTTCTTTCCCCTTGTGAATAAGAATTGGTTTTTAGGTTTTTAGTTTTATTCCATAAATGGTATCACATTTTCTCGCTTTCTCCCTATATTTATCCAGTTGAGTGCTTTCCTATTTTTCATGTCTTTTTTGTTTGTGTTTTTTTTTTCGTATTCACAGTTTCTTTCAATTTAATATATCTGGAACTTTCATTAATATGTTCTTTACTCTTTACTTTCGATCATTTGTAAAAGTATAAAAAAAAAAAAAGTTGTAAGTTATTTAACAGAGGTCTCTATAGTGTTCCTGCCACCCTTGAAGTCATTACTTCAACCATTTGTTTAGAATGCTAACTTTTATCTTTAAAAAATATGATCCTCTCTTAACCCTTATAAATGATGTTGAGAAGGAGATCAATGAGAGTCTCCTAAAAAAAAAAAAAACTATAAATATTTCCAAGTATTACAGGAGGAGGTTGAATAAGACCATTTATCTGACCATCTCTTTTGTCTTCATATTACATATGTCTCTGTATTACATATGTTGTATTACTGTTTCTGATTGTTTTGCAATTTTGGTTTGTAACATTGAAAAAAAAAACGATGCTCAAAAGACATGAGATTTCTGTTCTTTGCATTACTGACTCTTTTTATTTTTATTTAAGTTCTGTGGCTCTGAAAGGACTTTAACTTTCAAAGGAAAAATAGATTATCTTTCTTCTGTGACAAAACAACATCAAAATCATGGAAACTTTAAGTGACTTCTTCTGACTTCAGAAGCTCAGCAAAGCTTTTTCATGAATAATCTATTTCCAGTGAAATCAGTCAAAACTCTGTCTCAATGCTGACTATGACTAGAAATCTCACTCATGAAAGGTAAAATCCTGGTGGGCTTTCTTTTTTCAGTTCTCTCTATGTTTTTCTTTGTTTGAAACCCTATATACAAGAATAAAAAAATGTTGCAATGCACTTCGAGTACACTGTCCCAAAACTGTGAAAAGGGTCATTAAACCCAAGTGCTTCAAAAGGATCAAATTATCCCAAAGTTTCCCCATTTAGCTTCATATTTTCCTTACTGGTGGATAAGTGGTTGATCCTATATTCCTCTAATCTCTCTCCTCATGTTTTTGTGCTTCTTCCTGCTTTCATTTTCCCAATTTTCACGCTATCAGAATTGCTCTCCAAGGCTTTCAGGACCTGCATGGATGCAGACCAGCTGTTTCTCCATTGTTGTTCATACCATAACTTAGCCAGAACCAGAAAGCAGACCTCTTCTGAAAATCCTGTATGGCTTTTACTGATCTCTAACCTTCCACAAAGCCTTGCATTATCCCAAATCTATAACATTTACGTAAGTAATATAGGGAGTTTATTGGCTAATAATGATAGAGAGCAGTGGGGTTTCACTGACTTGCTCTTTAGTGGGAGGACGCTCTCAGACCCCTAAAATATAACCCTTGATACCAGATGACTTCTTCAAAATCTCTAGGTCTTTGCAAATCAATTTCTTATCAATATTCCTTTTCATGTTTTCCTCCCTGCCCACTTAGCCCATACTTCTCACATTATCATAGCTTGATAATTCAGAAAAAATGCCTGCATTTTGTGTAAGCAGTGTATGTATACCACTCATTTCCTTTGCCTGCTTTTCATTGTGATGGAATATTTTCCTACATTGGTATTCAGTATCTCAGCCAATAACCAAAAGATGGTTTAAAGTACCATTCATCGAAAGATGGATTAAAGTACCTAAAGGTCTAAGCTGAGAATCTTCGCCTGTACAGACAGTTGCACAATCTGTAACTATGAAGGCCCTAAAACAGAATCAAGTGTTTTCAAAGCAGAATTGTTTTGTTTCTGCAAAATCAAAGGCACAGCAAAAATGCAGTGCCAGAAGCACCTTGACTTAATCTAAAATAAACAATGACACTGAAAAATTGTTGCAGTGACACATGATTGGCTAAATCATGTGACACATGATGACTAAAGTGGTCCATGGGCAGTGAGTTGTTGCCAGTGTACCCATATTTATTTTAGCTTAGGTTAAATGGAATGGGCTGGAAAAAAAAAATAATAATTCATTTTAGTGAGTATTTACTCCCAAAGACAGATTACTAAATGATAATGCATAATTGGAAAAAAAAAATAAAAAATCATCAAATAAGTCTACTGTAGTAGTAATAAATAAGATTATATTGTATGAGTGCAAAATGTAAAATAAAGCTTCATCTCAGCCTGGAAAATTGTTTTAAATTATATAAGTTGTATTTTAATACATATAACCCTTAAAATTGTTTCCTCATTGTAACCAGAAAAAATACATAACAAAATCACAAGAGCCTATATCTATGTTTTTTGTCTAAGAAGAGTTTCTGGGGTTTATTCATAGTTTATTCTGTTTCCCTTACCATAAAACAGAAGCAAAATTTTAATTGCACTATAGAAGGAATGTCAGAGAACACTGCTGTTCTCGCTAGGTTAAAAAGTAACTAATCCCTGCATGTCACTTTGACTAAAGCACGTTAGCGTATAATGCAGGTGGGATTGCAGGTGGTTTGGTCTGTCCTCTGCTTCTTTGCAGCCTTGTAGACTTGAGCTTATCCCAAGGGCTATGGCAATGCCCCAGAAGAGGAGCAGCCTGAGGAGAGCTGTGCACCCTCCAGGGCACCCAAAGCTGACCAGCTTCTGCTCTGGCTGGAGCAGGCTGTTTCCACTGCTGAGCTTCTGGCTGCAAGTCCAGTGCTAATGCTGGTCTGACTCCTCTCCAAGCCCTCACCTTCTCTGGCTTGCAGGTGAGCCTTGCCTTCAGCTCCCACTTGATCTGTCCTTCCTGCAAGCCCCTCACGGCTCGCAAATCCAACTCCAATCCCCATTGTGATGGCAGAGCCCCTTCAAAGCCTGACACCATTCAAACATTGCTTAGGAAACAAAACAACAGAGCGAGTTGACACTAGTTTAAAAAACAGCCACACTGCACCCAGACCTGCCAAAAACATGTGCTGAGCTTCACTTCCCACTCTGCACAGATGACTGATTTGATTGGAAATTTGTACCCACCTGCCGCTGAGGTGCCATCTCAGCCATCCAGACACTGCCTCCAGAGCACAAATGTTCTCCTTTGCAAACAATTTTTATTGTCCACATACTCTCCTTTTTGAAAATAATACAAATTTTAAGCTGTCAGAAAGAAAATAAATGGAGACGTATATACTAAAGCTCCAGGGGCTGGCATGCTTTGTCTTGTACATGGGAGGATGACATTTCTCTGTTTACCTTTACTGCAGTAGCTCTCTGGTAGCAAGCAGCAGCCTCATCTTACAGAATCACAGAATTTCTAGGTTGGAAGAGACCTCAGGATCATCGAGTCCAACCTCTGACCTAACGCTAACAGTCCCCACTAAACCATATCCCTAAGCTCTACATCTAAACGTCTTTTAAAGACTTCCAGGGATGGTGACTCCACCACTTCCCTGGGCAGCCTGTTACAAAGTCTAACAACCCTTTCGGTAAAGAAGTTCTTCCTAACATCCAGCCTAAAACTCCCCTGGCGCAACTTTAACCCATTCCCCCTCGTCCTGTCACCAGGCACGTGGGAGAATAGACCAACCCCCACCTCGCTACAGCCTCCTTTAAGGTATCTGTAGAGAGCGATAAGGTCACCCCTGAGCCTCCTTTTCTCCAGGCTGAACAAGCCCAGCTCCCTCAGCCTCTCCTCGTAGGACTTGTTCTCCAGGCCCTTCACCAGCTTCGTCGCACTTCTCTGGACCCGCTCAAGCACCTCCATGTCCTTCTTTGTCCTTCTTTTCTATCATAACTGTGAATCCACTTCTGGATTCAGGGTGTAACTGCTGGCTAATATTCAATTGGATGGTATTTTCTGAATGAGCTGCATGACAGAGCCTGCACACACCAAGTCAGAACTGTGCAAAGGCCCTCGATGTGTACCTCAACATATAATGTATGTGCAAGTGCTCTGCTGACCTGGAAACAGGGATAGAAGACAAATGACCACAGAAAGGGAAAATTTTTTAAGGCAGTAGATAACTCCGAATTGTACTGTCTCCCTCTGCACAGAAATTCTTGGTTGGTCCGTCACTCATTCCTCTGGTCAATGCTGGGAGCTGCTCAGAAGCAGCCACCAGCATATGCCTCCCAGAGCTCTGCTGGTAACTCTGTGAGGGTGGCAGTGAGCGGCTCCAGAAGTTAGTCAATGTACTGTATTGGTTGCCCTGGCAGAGGGATAATTGTGAGGGTGAAAACTAAACTAGGGAACCCAGGAGGGCTTCTGAAACAGCCAGGCAAATCAGCTTTGGCAGGTTTCTGACTCCTGTTTTAGAATACGTTTGTAGTTCCCAAAAGAGTTTTGCAACTGAGAAGTGACCTAATTATTAAACACTCTTCACTGAGGTCCTGTCTCCTATTTGCTGCCCAATGTGTTTTCTGTTTGTTTGTTTATTATTTTGTTTTGCTTTGTTTTGTTTTGTGAATTCTACTTTAAAGGCATTTTCTTTCAGTTATCTTTAATCACTACCCTGGTTAGTGCTTGTGCCAACAGCCCCCAGGCCTTATCTCTAGGGAGACTAGAAATCTTTCTTTCCTCTCTCCCCAAGCCGACCATATTCAAACAAAACACAATACTTGTGCAGAGGTGCTAATGTGTTTTCCTGGCCTTTTTAGACATGATTTAAGAGCTGGTAGTTAAATGTGGTAGTTAAAATTAGGAAAATGCACTTGCAAAAGGATACATTTTTCTCCCACCTATTTTTTTGAAGTAGGACTATCAACTTTTCTCTGAGAAATTGGAGCCAAAGCTCATTTTCCTTTGTGCCTATTTGGTTGTAGTTGAATTACAATTTAATTATAGGTTATTTATTTATTTTGCTATTCACCACTATTTATAAGCCTATGGTGGCTCTTCAGGCTTTACCTGGGTGTCCTCATGTTCTCTGCATCCACAGATCAGTAAAGCATGATCCATAATGCGATTTTAAGCATGATGGTGCCATCAATTTTAGAAATAAAATATTTTCCTGGTTTTTCACTGTCAATCCAGGATTTTCTATAGCATCCAGCTCTTCAGATATTTTGTTCTTTCTTTTGATCCACTCCTTCAGGCCATATATTTTTCTTCCTGTAACTGTAGTTTCATGTTCAACTAATACCTTGGTATTCAGACTTCTGCAGGAGACTGACAATGATATTTTATGGTTAAATTTGAAATTTTCAGATCTGAAATAACCTGCTCTCCTTTACTCCACTGAAAGTGTGCCTGTCACACACTCTTCTCCCATTCTGCTCTTATGAATGTGCTGACACTATTTTTTCCTCAGGATGAAACTCCTCTTCTCTTGCACTTTTCCAGCTGCTGTTGCCTTGTACTTCTCCCCACCTTCCTGATACATTATGCTGAGGAGTCAAGCCACACGACCACTTAGTGGCATCTGATTGAGTAATTTTTATTATTTTCACACCTGCCTTTAGCATCTGGACTTAGACCACTGATTACTTTCACATCCAACTATTTGAGTAAAGGTATTGGTGTCTTGCTGCTGTCTTATAAATGAATGAGTTGAATACAGTTTAGGCTACACTGGATTTTGACTCTAAATTTCTTATTCTCTAGCTAATGGCCCATAATTCCTATGCTAGAAAGAGCTACTACAAAGTATTTTCAGATAAAATCTTTTTGTATGCTGAAATAAACTACATGGTTTTATATCACAAGTAGTGCAGTACAGGAGAGGGTGCCTTAAGTATGAGCTTTTTGTCACCATTTTTACACAGGTGTCTTTTTTGATGATGGTTGAGAGCATGTTGTTCTGGGGAAAGACATTTGGTTTGTTTGTTTTCGTCAGCAACTTACTGAGTTTGTTTGCTTTCTGCACATGAACGTGTTCATGATCCTGGGCAATTGCTATATTATTGTAAATTGAATTAAGTAGTAGGATAAAAAGACCATTTGGGTGAATGTTTCTTACATGTGCAGAAAGTACAATAATCTTGAACTTTATTATGCTGTTTTTTTGTGTGTTTATTGTTGCTTTTGGTTTGGTTTGTTTTTTTAGTTGACATCCCAGGTAATTTTTTTTTTTCCACAGACAAGCTAGTTGACAGATGCTGTAGTAGCACAAGAGTTAAGTCAGTCATGTGGTGGGGCTCTGGTACACCATGTCACCCTTGATGTCACTGAGGTGGTTTCCCCGTAGAGCTCTGGGTCAGGGAGCAGATGAACAGCTGTCAGACTGCCAGTCTGCACAAAGTTCCGGTCAGGAAACTGGGACCCTCAGACCCAGCTGTGGGACATCTTCATCTCTCCCCATAACAGTTTGCCAGGCAGAATGACCTATAAATTCACAATGAGGAGATGAGAGGTGAGGAAGAAAAGTTGGTCATGTGAAATACATTAATTTGGTGTTTTAAAGTTATGCAGACTTCAAGAAAGATCAACATTTTCTCAGCCAGGGGAGATGCAAAATGAGGAAAATGTCAAGCACATGCATAATTCCTTGGTGTAAGCTCAGACAAACCTGTTGATTTTAACAAGATTATAGGAAAGCATGGTATTTTTCTCAAAAAAATATAAATAAATAAAGGGAGAATTAAAACAAACAAACAAACAAACAAAAAAAAAACCAACAACAACAGAAAATTCAAGGAAGAATAGCATCTTTGGTAATATCTTGAATGAAAGAAATGTAAATATTAAACACAAACTATAATTTATCGTGTCTCTTCTTGGAATAAACTTGTGGAAGACAGTTAGGAAAAAAAAATTGCAGCCCTGAAAGCCTGTGTGTTGAGATTGGTACCCACTGGCCAACTGAAAGCCAGCTGCTATAGCTGCTTCCAGCCCTTCTCAGCAACAAGGTCTAACCCTCAGATCTTCTTAGCAACTTCCAGAGAACCCCCCTCATTAGAAGAAAATAAATAAATAAACATTTCTAGATTGTGAAGATACTTGTGCCAGTTTCCATGTAGCTTTTGGCAATGTACTATGTATTTAATCAACTTTAATTTCTTCTTGGGCTTTGAAAGAGTGTTTTGCAAATGTGTACTGTAAGGAAGCAACCGCACCATTGAACTACAATAATGAAATAGGTTTTAGTAGCAAATTACTCATAAAAAAAGATGAGTCTTACGTGTTTGCTGATTCACCCAAAGAATCATTAATTAAAAGGAAAAGTATGAAGGTTGTTAGTGACATTTTATCTGTCACCTTGGTTTTACTGAAGATAGATAACTAGAATGAGGGATACAGAAGATAGATAGCTAGAATGAGAAATGACCTTCTTCAGTCAAGTAAACCATCTGTTTTCACACTGTACCTAGAGGTGTTTCACCTGAAATTCATATGAATTTTTCAGGTGTGCTGTTGGGCTCTAAATGAGGTGTCACTTTCCCATTAAAAATAAAAAAAATTAAAAAACAAAAAAATCCTGGGGAGATATTTGTGAATGGTTAAGCAAAGATGTCTGCTCAATATGCACCATCAAACCAAAAGGCTTATGGGCTTCTGGGGTGTGTCATTCTGAAAAGGGCTAAAAAACAAACAAACAATAAATAAATAAATAAAAATAGCTGTTGGGTTCTATTTGAATTAATAAAACCACATCTCAAAACCAGCTGGCTGAAAGAGGGCAATGAAAAGTGAGTGACATCTTTTGCTTTCAATGGTTCAACACAAGAATTTCCCAGCACAAAGTATGGTTTGATTCTGCTGCTGCGGATGGTGTTGGTTGCATTGTGACTTGCATAAGTGAGTCAATTTTGCACTTTCCAGCAGTCTCATCTCTGTCATGACCATTAAGTGACAATAAGCATTTCACAAAATAGCAGCCTCATCTTCTAACTCAAGTTAATTGCTGGTTGAGGAGAGGCAGTGTGCCAGCTCCCAAATAGCCTAATAACTACTTTTTTTTTTTCAAAAGCTACCTTCAGTCTGAAACTGAAAATGAGCAAAAGACAACTGAGATGGCTGCTGCTCCTTGACAAACCACTTCACTCCGTCTCCTTTCTTGTCCTCCCTTCTCCTGCGCAGCAATTCCTGCTCTATGGAAATGGAAAAGATTCCTTCATTACAAAAAAGGAGAAGGAGCCAAAGGCAATTGGCTTTTTTTTTGTAACACTTCCCACTGGCAGAATCCCTGCCAGTGTTTCTGAGCAATCACCTCCACCTCTGGGAATTCAGAAGTTTGGTGTTTGTTTGCTATTTGCCAGAAACACTGCTGGTGACTCTGGGTATTCATTACCTGGTAATGCAATCACTTGACTTTCCTGACAATTTTTTGTTTGTTTGTTTTGAGCAGCTCCATTGCTATTAAGCAGTAAATGTGATAAGCAGAGCAGAGAAGACATCAGTCTTACCCTCATCAAGCCTAAACGCTATGAAAATAGCCTCAGCTATCACACAAATCCACTTAAATAATTCTGCAGATACCACCACTGAAATTACTCATGTTCTTCACTGCAGTGGCTTTTTTCTGTTTCATGCTATGACCCACTGTCATTTGCAAATAGATATTTAAACATCATTCAACTTCACAAGCAATGCAACATACATCAAACTTTCTTCTACAAGTCTTAGTGGAATTCTGTTTTGTTTGTTTTTGTTTTTTTTTAAGACACATTGCTTATGTGAACTACGCCAGAATTAATGGGGTAATAGCATTCTTCTCCCCATTCTCCAGATGTCTGCATCCTTTTACAAATCCTAACTCTCTCTTTTTTTAAAAATCCATAGTTGACAGAATCACAAATAACACAATGTGCATCTTGCTTTTCAGAAAGCCCTTCACCTATCTCTTATGCACACCAGAATCCAAAAAAGTAGCTGCATAGTATCTTGGATATTTGAGATTTATGTACAGAACATAACCACAGCTATTTGGGACCCACCTGTAGCCATCTGCTTTCTTTTCTGTCTTAATTGCTATGTAAAGAGGACAAACACATTTGCTGAACCTCGCAGTTTTCTCTAATTTATGTTGCAGGCTGCTTGAAGTGTAGGTCTGTTTTCTTAGGAATAAAAGCCACATATGCCAGTACTACATTAAATATTAATTGCAACATGAGGAAATTATTTACCTGTTTCTTTTTTGTTCAGTGGCGAGAGATTAAAGGCTGAAAGGTGATCCTCACAGCAATGTACACAGCTAACAAAAGAAACGCTAAAGTCCATGGTAGTACAGTGGTAATAGATCCCTTCTTGAACCTTTAAATCTGTTTCAAAGGTTCTGCAGTAAGCTAACACAGAAAGCTGCAAATGTCATTAATAATATGAAATCTTTAAAAAGACACAGTCAAATTCATTAAGCCCACTGACCACTTGCCTAGTGAATTCTGCAGGCAGCATGTTTATTACTTATGGGAGTCCAGTGTTTCCAGTGCTATTTGATTACTGTTTCTCATGGCAAACAGACTTGGGGAGGAAGAGCTTCAGGACCAGTTCTCAATGCAGCCTTTATGACGTGCTTTTTGTAACAGAGTGCTATGCGTGCTCTGAACAAAGTCGCTTTTATTTCCACATCAAGTGCTGTGACAATTTGAATGGTGCCACCGGCATCAAAATAAAGAGTGCTCTTCTGCATCCTTGTCCCACAAAATGGAAAAGGCTAATGCAGGGACGCCCTGAGCCATCCTTTAGCAGGTCTCTAGGACATTGGTCAGCCCAGGCTCCCAGTGAGCCCAGGCTGGCATCGGACTGGCCCTTCTGTGTACGACATGCACTGCTTGGGCATGTCTGCTTTAGCATCACAGTTCAGCTTAGGGCCACGCTTTTGAAAACAGTTCTTTTTACTCCCCATTTATTCTTCTGGGGTTCACACTGCCTGACCTGGAGCTCTTCTGCAGGAACTGAACTGAAAGACATGCTTCAGCTACTAATGGGCACTGGGTCCCTGTGTGCATGCTGCAGCTAGTCTGAACTAAAAACTCCTGAAACACATAGAGTGCAGATATTGAGTCCTCCACACCATTTTCCCCCTAATGTTGGCATAGCCATCATTTACTACTTGTCCTCTGATCTATTTTGTACCTGAAGTGTTGCAATTTGTGCAAAGCAAGCTGAATAATGTGTACACTGTATCTATCGTATCTATTTGTATGCAGATCTATGCAGGAAGTTACTGTGAAGTTAGAGTGGGATTGTAAACACTACTGTATACTAACTCCTTACAAAAAACACTCCCAGTGGCAGTTTACTCTTTTGTGAAAGTACAATATTGTCCTGCAATGAGAATTTGAAAGCTGCTTTACAGTACCTTAAGTTTCCCATGCTCATAAACTTCCACAAGGCTGCAATGCTGGATTTATTAAATATTAATCTGAATCAACTTGCAAAATGATTTTGTTAAACTGTTTTAAATTTCTGTGTATTGACATTCAGATTTACTTCTCCTATTGCATTTCCCCAAATGAACTACAATTTAATGAGAAAACCTGAGTTCTGATTAAGAGAGTCAACATAGAAACCTACCTTGGTTTAATGATCCATTTAAAAAAATCTGAAACCAGTTAATTTGGATTATTTTTTGAGTACAAAAGTGTAGATAAACCCCATAGAGATCATCCTGATATTATCCTCTCATTGTCCTGGATTTTCAGCCAAATTTCTTAAGAGTCTTCAGACTGCAAAGCCTGTAATACAACAAATATAATACTTCAGGTGAATGTTGAATTTACACAACAAATTGTGTTAAAGAAGCATTAACCCTTGAGGTTGAAATTTTGCCAGAAGCAGGGTAGGATCAACACTGTTGGATTTTTCCTCATTTGTTTGGCTGTCTGAGCCTGTCTTTATTCAGTAAGCATCATTTCATCTCAGAGTCTCAGGTGCCTATGTCTGCTTTGAGAGATGAAACCTGTTTTCAAAATTCCTTGCAGTTTAGGCACTGTATTTCTTCCCACTTACAGAATGTTTTCTGCCTTGGTATTTTGAGTGGGCAAATCCTGACACTAGCAAAATATCTTTTCAGCCTGAGCCTGGCTGATGGGATTTGTTGTGCCAACATGGAGGCTGACATATGCTGATTTTTACATTTGAACCTTTTGTAGAAAAGAAATTTCTGAATGTGTGGCACAGCCTACAATCAGACCAGCATTGCTGCCTGGATGGGAGGAGTGCTGTTATCCACCTGAGATTGGCAGTCTGGTCGGATCTGTACATGGGGACAGTCATAGCATAAATTTTCACCCCTGCTGGAAAAAAGTAGCTGAAATATAACTGTACATTTCATTCTCCAGAGGCTTCTGGATTGATAAATACTGTTAATATGTATGCCTAGGTCTCATTTTCAAATCAAAGAGCCAAGGAGCTAGCAGTTACTTGCTTGGAAGAGCTACACTCCCCTCCACCCCACCTGCCCTCTGGAGATACAATGAGGAGAAAATAAACACTTCCATACATAATGAGTTTAATGAGATTTCCATTTCAGTGTAGATTTGCATATACTGCCTTAAATCCGGGTTTAGCTTTAATTGGGAAATAGCTTGTGTTCTGTTTGTTACAACTGTGGTCTTGGAACTGGATACAAAAGATTGTAGAGACCCAAATTCATTGTTGTGACTCTCAGCAAAGCTGCAATAACATAACCTGATGTCTAATAAAAGAGGAAATACCAGAGCTGTAACTCACAGCAATATTATTTCCACACAGAAAGGATATAGAGTGATTATGAGCCTATCACCACGGTAGCTCTATGATGTCTTGTCATTTTCTTAATTTCCTTTGTTTACTTAACTCTTGTGATTTTACAGCTAGGGTAATTTTCCCTGAAATACTTTGAAAAATTGTCTTTAATATAAAAAGTACACCCTGCCTGCAGCTGGTTATATAATTCCTATATATAGGTTGCAGAAATCTCAACATCCTCCTTCTTCTTTAACAAAAAAATAAAAATAAAAAAAAAAAAACATAAATACACAGAAAAAATATTATATTTATATATGTCTGGCCACTGTTATAGCAAATTGTTAATATTTTGCACATGCACATGAGCACTTCACTCACAAATAGCTTGAGGGAAAAACTACTCTATTTTCTTCACTGCTGTCACTGATACAGTTACATTGTCCCTCCCCACCGCATTGCTATCTGTAGTATAATTTCTCAGCTCCAAGAACTTCGTTCACATCAGGTACCTGGAAAGGAATTGGTTGCAGTCATGCAAACACAGTTTGAATTAATTATTTCCTATTTGAAAAATCACTCTTACCTGAAGCAAGCGATGCTTCATTTTCCTTTCTCATTTTTTTCCTATTCTTTTCCCTCTTTACAGCTACAGAAATAATTATCTCCATGACAGGTAGCAAAATTTTGCTGTCTGTCTCTCTGTCCCTTCAAAAGCACACTCAGCAATACTTGGTGACAATCTATCAAAATTATTGCAATAATGGTTTTTGACAGTCTTTGCAGACACTTTCACTTACCATCTCTGGGATTTCTTTCTGCTATTAGAGTTGAGGAGTGGGAGTCAGGCTTCCTGGGGCTTCCTTTTATCTCTGTCACTTATTTTGAGGAGTGAGTTTCTATACCTGTCGACACAGTCTACAACACACCCCAGGCAGTCAAAATTCACGGTCACCCGTCACCTTTCCCTCTCTTTTGGGATTCATCTTTTTACGTGAGAACAGCACATCAGCTTCAGCTTCTGCTTGATGCTGGTGTTTCTAGGCATGTTCCCTGCAAAGACTTCCAATTTACTCTTTGAGACAGATGGAGACAACTCGGTTTCCAGATAACACAACCTGCCTGACTGGGCCACCAGGATGAAACTGCAAAATCACTCTGTAGCTTTAGCACAGGTTCTTACTGCCTAAAGCTGTGTCCCATTTCTTTGGTCACCAGTGAAGTAATTTAACCATAGTGTCTCAGTTTCTCCCTCTGCAAAACAGGAGTACTAATACCTATATAAACCTTAATCCCTAATGCTATTTATCCCAAAAGAGTCCCAGGAAGGTGGAAGCATTTACAGAGTGTTTTTCAACACCCATCTGAAACATCTTATTGACCCACAAAATCCTTTCTAGATTAGATAATACAAATACTAAATCAATTCATCATGGCAGTAATAACAACCAAGGTGATAAAACAATCTAGAGAAATCAACAAGTGTTAAGGATGACCCTACAGTAAATCTAGAGTATGGCAGCCTTTCCCTCTTCCTAGCTCTTGGATAACAGTCTATCTTTTCTCAGTTTTCAGATAATAAACCTTTAAGGATTGCACTACAAACTTCTTTTTCTGCTTTATGAAAGTAGGTCTCAGTGAGCACTGCAAGCATGTAAGGTGTGAATGATTTTAAGTTAATAAATTTATTTTCTAAATGATTATTTAAGAAGTTTTAAACTAATTAAACAAGTTAAACTGATGTATGTCCTGGCGTTGGTGTTTGCCCTGTTGCTGTCACAATAGCTTTTGTGGAACAGAAGCAACGGTAACACTAGTAGAATGGATTGGGAAGAAATGGGCAAACATATCTGCAAAGCATTTAATCATACTTTCTTTGACATAATTGGGACTTCGGGTGATAATTTCATTTGGAGAAGAAGCAACTAGACCAACTAGAAACTGGAAATTTTAAACGGTAAGAATGATGAGGCTGTACCTATATATTCATCTAAAAAAATAGCTCTTCAGAGAAAACTATAGAAATGTCTTTTTAGTTGCAAAAGGAAGGCTTGATTGTAAACAAAACCTGATACATTTACTTCAGGCAAGCACTGGAACAAGAGTAAGAAGGAACAGTAGCTCTCCCACTCTTCTACAGGCATGGGCATGAAGCAAAGCTGCCATTCTACATTTTGATTTGTGGCCCACTATTTTTGCTATGATCTTCAGAAGGATTGAAAAAGAGTCTACAGCCTCCCTGCTGCAGTTGTGGGTGTGGTGCGAGGAGGCATGGAAAGACACACATGAGATTGCCCATAAGGAACACTAGCACGTAGCAACACAAAGGCAACATCACCATGTGAAGAAGACTGGAGCTGGAGACTTGGCTTTCAGCATCAGTTCTGCCATGAATGTACAACTATGGTCCTATCCAAACCAGTGAAGTGCTCCTTGCAATCTTTTCTCCATCTGTTTGTAAAAGCAGATTTGTATTTTTGAAGGTCAGTGGCGTGGACCCTATAAATGGCATACTGCCCTCTTCGCCATCACAGTTATTGAGTCCAGTAGAGAATTTTGTTCAGATGTCTAGGAACTCAGTGGAATTTGGAGAATAAAGACATTGTTAGATACTTTGGACATATTCAAACATGAAATTACACTTGTAGAGTCTTGTGCAGTCATGCTCGCTTTTCACTTCTGGGACATCCAACTAACTGCATGCAGAACAGCTTGGTCCACTGCAAGCCAAAAGCTAATTTCTGAAGTTCACCTGCACATGAACAGAATCGGGATCCAAATGTCCATAGACTTCTCAAATTACTGGTTAGGAATTAGAGGAAGAAATAATAAAGGTATGGTTCAGCATTTTTTAACTCAGGACTTTTTGACAAAATGCAAGCTGTATATGGTGAAGGTGAGTGGATAAATAAACAGGTGAACACTGAAAAGTAAATGGGTAGAAATCTCACGCCAGCGGAAGTATGTCCTGGGCTGCATGTGCTGTCAGGCAACAAACAAAATAAAAAAGATCTTGCTGTGAGAGAAACGTGAGTGGTTTTGGATAATTCTTTAGTATGGGTAAAAACAAGGTCAGATCCTGAGATGCTTGTCTCACTGCCACAGACTTCAATGGGAGAGCTGAGGCGATGATTCATGGAGAGAATGCAAGAAGGAGTGCCAAGAAGGAGCTGAGAAGGACACAGGGAAGGGTGAATGGGTGGTCTTGTTTGTCCATTTTTTCCATAAAGCAAGAAAAGAATATGAAATGAACTTAGGAGGCAATATATTTAAATTGATGATCTCTTCTTCAATATTACCTTGAAAATGAGATACTTAAGAACAATGAAGTACTCCCTTGAGACTTGATGGATTTATGTATTAAATGTAAGCAATAACTTGTAGAAGGATGAAATGTATGTACAAAGAGAACCTCCCTAATGCCTACAGATTGTATAAACACAACTAAATGGGGACAGAGAACATCAAGCAGCATGAGATGAGCAACCCACTGGCTTCTTTCACCACGCTTCTGTAAGTGGGCATCCTCGCGGCTGCTTACAGCAGATAAGGGTTTGCTCTTTTCTCTGAGACGTGCAGAGCTGGCTCCTTGCAGAGGCAAGGGGCTGCCAGAAACTGGCAGTTTTTAATCAAGTTTGATGGTTCCTATATTCTTGCATCAGATTCACTAACTGAGAAAAGACACTAATAATACAAACACAATCTTTGCTTCGGTTTTAAGAGGCAAAAAGCATAACAGAAGCCAATAATAGCCAGAAGGTTCCCCAAGGAGATGGGGCAGAAGAAAGACTAAAAGAAATTGGAATGAATGATACCATACGCAGTAAATAAATTAAAAAGTGTAAAGACTGACAAAAATCAGGAGCCAGATACTAAGCACAGAGTCATTCTGAAGAAACTGGGAGATAGGGGGGGTACCTCAGGAAAAGTATTTCAATCCCTCTTGCAAACAAGATGCCATAGCCTAGAACAACCTGACGGAGGGAAGTCCAGGACGGTGTCCTTGTTATTAAAAACACGAAAATTGCAGGCATTGTGTTTCCTGTTTGCACGGCAGCGTGGTACACGTGGGCAGACCCTGACCACACACTGGCATCAAAAGGCTCCACATCTTCCTGAATCCCTGCATGCAGACCAGAGGCTTCGGGCAGGGAAACGACTGTCCCTGTCCATACGTGAACGCTGCTCCCGGCTCAGCTGGTCCGAGGAGTCCTGGAAGCCCCAGAGGCACCTGGAAGAGGGTCTGTGCACACCCACCCCGGGGCGTGCTTTGCTGGGGTCCTGAGGCACTGCTTCGAGATGCGTTTCCTTGCCCGGCTCCCCGCACGTAGGCGCACAGCAGGTGCGCCAGAGTTCAGCAGAAACTTGGGAAGAAGACAGCTCTCCCGAGGCGTGGAAAGCACTTCGCTCGCCGTGCGGGCTCGCTGACAGCTCTCGCCTGCCGGAGCCGAGCTGCATCTGCTGCACCGACCCTGCGAGAGGCTTTCTGAACGGGCTGAACCTACCCGAGATGGACGGCGCGACCGGGGCGCACCCGTCAGCCGGGAGGGCGCCTTCACCATTTGGGAAGGTCCCTGCCTGCCTCCCCGTCTCCCCGCGCCCAGCCCGGCGGTGAAGGGCTCGGGGCAGCCCCTCCGCAAGGCAGCCCCGGCTCCGTGCGGCGGCTGGCACGGGAGCTTGCCCCGGGAGAGGCGTGCCCCCGGCGGCAGGCGGCGCTCGGAGGGGCGCCGAGCCCATCCCCGGCCGGCGGGGCTCGCCATGGAGCGGAGAGCGCCCGGCGGCGAGGAGGCAGCGCCTGAGGTGAGAGGGGACCGCGGTGTGCGGGGACACGGGGCCGTGAGGGACCTCCCCGCTGGGCGCTGAGGCGGTGCCGGGCTCGGGGGGCTCGGTCCGGGGGTTATCGGCGGCGCCCCGCTGGCTGCCGGCCCGTCCTTCCGCGGCTGAAGATAACGGGGAGGGCTCTCGGAGATAGTGTGCTCTGGAAGGAGACTGCCCCCGAGCCCCAAATCCAGTACTTTTTTTGCATAGGCAGAGTCCCCGCTGGGTCCCGGGGTCTTAATCAAGGTCTAAAATACTCGGTCGGGTTGGCACAGCCGCTAACTAGCATGCAGAGCCAACGCGGTTATGAATTTCAGTCGGGATCTTCAGCAAAATTTGCTCTGAATATGCATGTCAGTCGCAGTCATGATTTGTTAAATGTCTTAGAAACTGTGACTGTTGACAAATTCTCGGTAAGACCTGGCTGTAATTTGAGAATAATTATGATTATTACTGATTCAGAACCACACTGTACAGTTTTCATGTGCCGTCCCAAAAGCAGGGGTTAAGATTTGTCCCATGGAAGATTTTTGTCTGTGAGACCCTCGATAACCTTGATCACTTCCAATGGCATCTTTCCATAAGAGACGAGCTCTCTTTTCCTGGAAGCCTTGGTGCCAGAGTTACTTTTGTACAAAGGAACTTTTTGTCACTTTTTTTTTTCCTTTTTCTTTCTTTTTTTTTTTTTTTTTTTTTTTTTTCATGGGGAAGATTGGTCAGGTCCTTAAAAAATGGGAAACCTTCACGTGGAGGCATATTTTTGGCACAGCCTCCAGCACCAAAGCCGTTTCAGAAGGATTGGTGTCTTCCAAGTCTGCTTTTCCACCCCTGCTATTTCCGTGGTTCTGAAATGACTTGGGGATGGCATTCAGAGGAGGAATTCAACTTTGTTCGGAGGGTTTCAGACCTCTTCTATTTGCTCTTCTTAAGGCTTCCCTAAAACAAACAAGTAGAGCGTTTGAAAAGAAACCTATGGCTGAATATTCAGCACTTCCCTTCCCTTGAGGGAAAGCTGACAGACATCCCCACTTGTTTTGGATCCCAGGAAGGTTTCTAGCCAAGCAAAAAAGATCAGATTTGATACTGCTAAAGGACAAAATGGGGCAGGGGAAGGGACAGTGGTCATTTTTTTATGCATCATTCCCTACATGGAAAAAGAGGGTTTAAAACGAGCAAATTGTCTCAGATTTTTTCCAGGTCAACATTATTTTGGTTGTTTAATCAGCGTGTCAGTTTCTGTGAAATCTCTAGACTTCTGCCTTTTAAATAATATTAGCAATATTGCCAGATACTTTCATGCAGTGTGTATCTGAGACACGACTGCACTTGTTAGGAGATTAACAGCACTTGCCCTTGCACCTCTGTCCCTGTGCCTATTAGCAGCAGTGCATTAACTGTCAGTAAATGTCTGTCATCTCTTAGGGCTTAATTATGAAATGGTTTTAAAATGGCATGCAAGGGAAACTTTCAGCTCAGCTTTTAAATGTGATACAGCCCTGTGTATGAATAACTCTCGTGGTGCCCAGACTTGCTGTCCTTATTAACAGAGCCCAGCTCTGTTTCTGTGGCTTCAGTTTTGAAGCCCTAAAATGTGTGTTCTACTTACTTATTTTCTCCTCTAACAGTTCTGTGCTGATAGAACAAAAAAGTGAACAGATGCATTTTTTTCTGGAACAAGATGCTTAGGCAGGATCACAATGGTCATTGCGTGCTTTTTGCCTTTCCCCTTTCTTTGCTGTTGTGTTTGATTCTCAGAGAAGTAACTTTAAATGCCTGACTATGGTTTCAGGACAGTCTGAGATTGCTTCTAGGTGATCCATCCTGCATCAGGTGCTGAACCCATTTCTGTCTGGAAACATATAAGCCAGTGTTGGCTGTTTTTTTATATGCTGTGAAAACCCTCTATAAAAAAGTCATACGTTTGTAGCATAGGACCTGTCTAATTAGAGAAGCTAGGGCCAGAAAAGCCGGTGAGAACTGAATATATGGTATCTAACCTACACTAACACCATGCACCAGCACTATTGCTACAGGGTGAGTGTATCCAGACAGTGAGTAGAATAAGCAGAATAAGTATTGTCTTTTGAAGTCTGAGCACAGCTTTTGTCTTGTTAACTTGCTTGTAGGCAACTGTTTGGTTGTTTATTTTGAGCAACTGGAAGAAGGACAGAATTGGATGTGATCGCCATATCCTCACATAGTTTGCAAGGCAGAAAGATGGGCAGCAGCATCTTGAGACTGGACAGACAGTAAAATAAATTTTTGATTTGAATGTTATTAAGGGAAGAAACAGAAAACAGGAGATAGTGAAAACTCTAAACATTTCCTAAATGTCTAAGTGATTGGGGAGGCATTTTCCTATTTTAAAAATTACATAGGCACTCTAGGATCAGTATTTTTGAGGTTTTGATACACGTAGATCTCATTAGGGGATTCAGAAACTTTGTCAGATGTATGTAGGTGATGAGGATCGAGATTGTTTCTTTTTTTTTTTGTAGTTTTCAAAAAGAAAAAATAAAAAAGCCCTGTCTGCTCTGATCAGATACCTCTTTAAATAGACAGTGTATATTACATAGCATTGAGTAGTTCATTTGCTCAATTAAGGCATCAGTTCAGAGTTATGTGACTTACCCATTTCCCTACTCAGATTCATGTCTTTGTTACAGTGAATGCTACACCGTTTATATTCAATGGTTTTTAATGTTTTGTTTTTGTCAGTCAGGCATTTTTAAGTACTCATTAATTAAACTTGAAAACTTCCAGTTACCTCATGCTTCTTTCGTGGTGAGTTTAGTTTGTATTCTTATTCTGTATCACAGCTGAACCTATCTCCCATTTCAGGATGCAGTTTAGCTGTGTGGAAAATCAGACTTTTACTTCTTTTCCTCTTGCATAATCTTGTGGTCTTGTCTTGTTCTGTGGAAGACTTTTTCCCTGGTTCCACTTTTTTATTTTTTTTATTTTTTTCCAAAGATACTAAAGTGAATTCAGGTTCTGTGCAATGTGTTTAAATGTTGAGTAGAATCAAGATTATTTTTTTTTTAAAAAAAAAGGGTTTTGAAGATGCTGGCACTGGTCATATTGTCTGATGTGAGATAAGTGCTCCCTGACTGCCAGTACCTTTCCCCTGGCTTGCCAGCAGAACGTATGGATGCTCTTCTAGTTATTAAAGATGAGAGAGGGGCCAGAGTCCCTCTGCTTTCTTATAATTTTCCTTTTGCCCTTATCAAATCAAAAATCATTTATGGTATCATACTAAAAGCCAGTGTGCTTTTAGTACTGCTTCCAGTAACTTTATGTGCATGTATTCCATTGAAGAGCAATTTCTGGAGCATCGTTCTAATTAAATATTTACAATCTCTCTTTTATTTATTTTTTTTACACCCTGGAAAAAAAGATGAGAAATATACAGTCTCTCAGCTTCCTAACATGAACTGACTTCTCTGTTAAACATTCACGTTATACCAACAAATTTGCCATTTCAGAACCATAATGATGATAGAATCTAAAACATTAAAGTGAAATAGATGCTGAGGTTTGTGGCATGTTTTCCTAGTGACAGAAAACTGAAGGAGGAGCTTAAACTACTGTAACTGAATGGAGTCACTTTAACATGTTTCTACTCCTGAGTAGAAAAGGTGACAAGTGATCTCTTTCTCTTTGTCTTTCTTTTGTCTTAACCTAAATTAAAAATAATAAGGATCATTAATACTGGTAACTGTGATGCCAGCTATTGGGAAAAAATATCATAATGCGGCTGTGTTTACAGGACATCTACACAAATAATGGTCCTCCATGCTACTTGGTTAACCAGTATCTTTCATTTTCTGAGCAATCTTGGTAGAACTTGTGAATTTTGTTGAAAACAAGGGATCCAACTAAAGTGTGTTAAAGTGGAGCTCTGCACAGCTGGCAGGAGGTAAATCAATATTAGACAAATGGGAAAGAACACGAATATTTAAAAGGAAAAATACTGTGGCTGAAGATTTCAGGAATACTAAAGCAATAAAGACTAAAAAATAAAGCATTAAAAACATATCCTTTCAGCATCGCTTCAGAATGTCAAGAATTACACATCAAAGATTATTCAGATTATTATAGTCTTGTTTTTCAGAACTTCACAATTCTTGAAGAAACAAATATTGTTTAGGCTGAGATACTACCCACAGGAAGCATTTTGAAAGGCCAATGGTGTTGGATTTTTTTGACAATTGAGTTAGAACCATTTGCCTGAGCCTTCTATTGATGATTCCATTAGTAGAATGAATAGATTGATATCAATAAGTCAGGGAATAATTGGTCAGCTTTAGGGCTGCCTGGATTCAGGATTGTCTTGTGCCAGGATGGCCAAGTGTAGTTCTACACTCCCTTTGCTGAACAGGAGCCCCACCAGAACAGCTGTGGGTGTGCGGGTGATGCCTTTGTCTGAACTGTGTTTCAGATCCAGTCATTGCCTCCCTTCCTTCCCAAGTGGAAGGGGAGCTGACAAATATGTTTGTTGGCTTTACTTGGTCCACCCTGAATTCGAGCATGGTCCCCTGGAAACTTGGGAGAGGAATGATAAATAAATTCAGTTTTCTGAGAAGCCAGCCCATATATGTATACCTTTTGCCACACTGTGATTTTTTGTTTTTATGTTTCCAGTCAGACATTATTGTAATGAGCTGAAAATGCAGTTTCTAAGGTGTATCGTAAAGCAGGCGTTGTGTGTCGGCTGCAAGGCAAATTCCTCACACATTTTCATTTTATGTATATTTACTCCACTATGTGAATTATAAGACATCTTGAATTTTAAAATGTTTGGGAAGAGACTGGACAGATCAAGGAAAGAGGAGAAGTAAGAGTCAGATTTAGGATAAACTTCTTCCTCTTCTATCTATCCCTTGCCATGGCTCAGTCAGATCATGAGCCCTGGTTTCTGTGCCTTACACTGCTGCAGGTTCAAGTGGGTTTGGGATTATTGAGCTATTACTGGCCTGAGC